TTTCCATTTCCTCCCTCCCGTAAGCCATAGCCCAGCAGTACGATGAAAGGCATTTGGCTTACATTTTAAGAAATGAATCAAATTCCAGATGTGCCACCTTTTATTGGTTGTGTGACTGGAGCCAGTCCTTGAACTTCTCTGAGCCTCCGTTTCCCCTTGTGTAAAATATGCGTGACGGACTAGCTAATTGCCAGGCCTGTTTGGTTCCCAGTTCAGGTGTCAGCATCCCAGAGAGCCATTTTGAACCTCGGATGCCAGGGTCCCTCGTAGGGGCCATCAGGAGAATTTCTTCTCTCAGTCAAGTGTGACAGGTGCTATATCAGAGACACCCTCGCCCCTCCTTAGCACTGCTTCTGGGAAGAAACTCTGCTGAGAGCTGCTGTGGATTTTCCTCGGGAGATTTAACAAGCCCCCTCGCACCCCTCCTCCAGCAGGACGGCCCACACATCAGGCATGGGGCTAATGGAAGCGTGGTTCTAAGGCTGTGGCTTCCTCCTCCTCGGTGGATAAAATGCTAGAAACACTATCAGGCAGGGCCACCAGAGCCCATATCATGCCTCTGTCCAAATTAGAAGACCCCCCGCCCCCGCTTCCACCAGCCAATGCTGAGTTGGCAGATGGAGCCCGAGCTGGACACACCTCGGGACCTTACTTGGAGGCCATGCTCTCAGGCCTGTCACAGTCTGGAGTGGAGAGAGGGAAGAGATTGTCTTCTGGGGACAGAACACTTTTACTATTTCAAAGCACCAAAATATAAGCCCTGGCCGATATCTTTGAACAGCCATAGTCATATGTTGAAAATAGCATATGTTCTCAGGTACAGAATTTGGGGTTGGTTATCTGAGTGACAGAACTCAAGAGTTTTTGTCGATGATGATACAGCGTGGGGCAGTGCAAGATGCTTAACATACGCACGTGGAGAGAGACAGGTGATGCCACGGAGCCTCCACACCTGTGCAAGGTTCTGTGAAAATTAGTAAGTTTATACCAATGGACCTGGCCCTTTTGTGATCATGGCATATTTTCTAATATTGAGATTAGAAAGCTTACTTGACATACTGGTCACTAAACGAGATGGCAACACTCACAGCATGACCACAGACGTGTAACAGTGTCCCCTGGGGTTTTTAAAAGCGCCTCACTCCGCTTACCTGCAGCTGTGTGTGGCTGTGAGGACGGCTGACTGCCACGCCAAGTCATCAGAGAGCACGCGGGTCTCGAGTCAACATTCTTGCAGGTTCTAGGAGACAAGAAAACTCTTTTTGGCCATGGTTTCCTCTTATGCCTCTTACGCCTTTTTCATAGTAATACGCACATTAAATTACAGCAAAAATGCACGGCATGCGTTTCACGTCCCTCTGGAAAGGTGGTCCTCAGGTGGCTCCACCGGGTCAGTCGAGAATCGCTGGTTCGGCCCATGATAAACACCCAATTAATGGTGGTTCTGTCCACATGAACACAGAATGCTGAGGTGTTGGTTTTCTTTAATAATTTGCTCCTCGGGACTATTTAAATCTTCAAAGTTTAAAGTTTATGCTTAGCTGGTCTAATGAGAAGTTAGACTATTTTAAGAGATCTTAACTGAAAAGATAAACATATCCGAATGTCTAAAAGCAGCTTAGCGGGGGCGGGGCGGGGGGCACGAGGCCACTACGGAACCATCACGGCTTATCAGGGCAGTGTTTCCTACTTGCCGGAGAATCACCCCCAAATTAAGGAAACGATGTGAAAAGCACTTTGTTAGCTGTGAGATCAACCCATGTTGGTTAGATACCAAACCACCCACTTTCCACGTCAACCGTGAGCTCCTCGAGGGCAGGGATTCCATTCTGTGTCTTGACAGTCTCAGTGTTAGCATAGCACCTGGCACATAGTAGGTGCTCAACAGATGTTTGCAACTTAATAACACTGTGACTGACAGGACTTTTGTTGAGGGAGAGGATGGCTCTCGGGTTGGTTTTGGGTTAGCATAGGTTTTTCAAGCTTTCTCTTTTTGACTGTGGTCTACAGTAAGAAACGCATTTCACATCATGACACAGAATTCTCTCGCTTTCTCTCACACATACGCACCTTGAATAAAAATTTAACAACAACAAAATACTCTTACTTTGTAAAACATTCCTCCACCGTTCTACTCTGTCCTAGTTTTCGTTTCTCTTTTTTTAAAAGTAAAAATAAAAAAATAAAAGCTGGTTGCCATCCACTACGTTGATTTCATGACTGGTTATGGCCTGCAGTCTGGAGTTCGTGGCCAGAGAGTGACTGAAGGTACCTTCACCAAGACGGGACACAAGGCCGGGCTGACAGACAAAAGGCCAGAAAGCTCTGTTTCCCTGGACCTCCCTTCCTGAGTCCGGTGTCCCCTTTCTACCCCAACACTCACCGTCCTGCCCCCAGCGCATTTCTCAGTCCCGTCCCTCATTTCTTTGGAGGAGAGCCCTCTGTACCTTTCAAAGCGTCACTCGGTAAATCTGATCAATTGTTATGTGTAGACAGGGCAGGGATTGGGGAACAGGGAGTTACTATTTCATAAGCAGAGTTCTGGTTTTGCAAGATGGAAGAGTTCTGTGGATGGATGGTGGTGATGTTTGCACAACAAGGTGAATGAATATACTTAATACTACTGAACTGCATGCTTAAAAATGGCTAAGATGGTAAATTTTACACTACGTGTATTTTGCCACAATTAAAAATACACACATACGTATGTGTGCACGCACAGGCAAACTAATAGAAAAAAAAAAATACTTGGAGGGGTCTTCTGGAGAGGAAGTCTCAAAGTTAGAAGCTGTCTTAAAGGTCATTTAGACCAAATCCCTCTGACACTGGTGAATCTTGGGCAGAATTTCCAGGAAGGGGGTACGGTTTCCAGTGATGGGGGCTCATTGCTCAGGGCAGGTTATTTTATCTTTGAACAATTCAGGCCTTTGAGTGTTGGGGAGTTCTTTAGATGAACTGGAACTTTCCCCATAGCTTCCCCTTTTGAACCCCATTCTACCCCTCAATTCACAATAACGACCTAAATTCCCTCTTCCTTGTGAGACGAATTCAGTAAAATTTTTTGAGCGCATACTAAGTGCCACTATCTGATCTTCCAAGTTTTCTCTTTCCAGCCAAACATTCCACAACTCTGACAACTATTTCATGTGACACTGTTTCGTGTCCCCCCACCATCTGACGACTCCCCCGAAATGACCAATTTGCTGCTCTCTCTCTTACAGTATGACATCTAGAAATGAAAATGCTATTCTAACCAATGCCCCTCAAAGTTTTCCATTAAAAAAAAAAAATGGAGAATTCTAATGGAAGCCGTAGGCCGAGGAGAAAGTGTCATGGCAGGTCAGTGAGGGAGCGGTCTGAGAGCTACGCTGACATCTCGCATGGACAGCAACATTTGTCCTCCAGGTGCAAGATAAAAAAACATCTTGGATCCAGTCCTTAGCTCTGAAGGACAGATACAAAAATCCAATCAATCTTGACTCTTATCTCTAATTTATTCTGTTTTATCAGTACCCCATCAACCACCACCCAGCTTTCCTTGGAAAATGCATGTAGCATTGCACAGGACTGGGTGTCTGCCAATACATAAATATACATAATGTATGATCTTCTCCTTTGACTCTGGAATCTAAACAAATGGGTTATGTTCCAAAAAATTCCATAAACCCACAATTCTGTATGGTGACCACGGTGCTCCCAAAGAATTTCACTCTAAATATAGAAAGGTATTCCTCTGCAGAAAAATAGCCCAGCAACTCGGTTCTAATATATAATTAAATCCCCCTTAGATACTTTGCAGTTATGTTTTATAGCTTATTTTGAGTGTTCATATTTTATCAGAAAATTATAATTTTCCTCTAAATAGGAGTTTTTATAAAGCTTTTGAATTATGATGGCTGGCTTCATGTTTCAACTATAATTAAAACAGTGAAAAGAAATAGCGAAACTGTACATCATACATGGTTCTGAAGAATGCTCGGTCCTCAGATCCCCCCACTTCCTCATACCCTGCAGCCCTGGAGCTGGGGGATGCTCTTACCAGCTGTGGGGGTCCCAGTTTTGACCACCTGGTGGGAGTAGCTGGTTTAGAAAGGAACAGAATAGCCTGGGAAGGAGGGATGAGGAGGCCTCATCCTTTGCATACGTCCAGACTCAGCCGGAATATCTCCTCCTCCAAGAAGCCTCCCTGACCATCTAGTCCCCTGTTATTCTCACCTTGCCCTATTTTTCCCCTTCACAACACTTTCTCATGAACCGTAATCATATCTGTTTGTTATTTAGGAGCTTCCCGTCTGCTTCCCCATTAGATTACCAACTCCTCGCAGGCCAAAGCAAAGCCTTCCCTATTCAACACGGTACAGCCAACTCCTTGCACATGTTAGATATTCAATAAATGTTTGCTGAATGAGATGAGTGAATGAATGAATGGAAGAACATAGAAACATGGTGACAGGCGTGCTCTTGGAAGCGGCTCTGTTGGGACATGCTTCTGAAGGACTCTCCTGTTCCCCCCTCCCCTCTGTCTCCATATTCCACACCTTATGTCCCCCCAAACACACACCAAGGACCCAGACACATGAGCCTATCAACTCCTGGCCCCACTTGACCGAGCCAGCTACACAAAACCCATTGCTACAAAGTTCAGACGTGAAATTCCATCCCAGGAAAGACTAGTCCATCCCGAGAAGCCTGGTCCTCTGGGAACCCTCACTGCAGAACACACAGAACTGCAGTTATTCACACAAGGACAGCCACACTGTCACAGGGTAGAACTGGGCCAGCAGAGCTTATCCATCTGCTCCCTGGGGGCCTCAGCCATGAATCGTTAGCTCATTATCCCTGAGTCTTTGTACTCTTTTTCTGTATCCTCTCAGGAAAAATACCCTCACTCGTTGGTCTCTGGTGGACTTTAAGTAGAGTGTTTATCATGGACCTATACTGCCACCGAGGTGGCTTTGGCTCCCTTGTGTCCTAACCCTCTGCTTGTTGCTTTCCATCAGGCATCGGGTTTGGAATCCAAACCGGTAGCAGACAGCGTGCTGTTTTTACGTGACAAAAGATGGGAAGAGGTCAGAAGTGTTCTAACTTCTGCTTTCAGTCCTGAGAAGCTGCATGAGGTAAGAAAAAACGAAAACTTTCTTCCTTAAGGGATAGGTTTCTTCTCTCCAAATTGTGATGGAGAGCTGGTTCACATTGCATCACTTGTCCAGGTGGCACAACAAAATGCTCTGCCCGCTGGGGCCTACCGACCTCCCAATTCTGCAAGAAAAACACAGGACACTGTCTGCATTGCCGTGCCTTCCATTTCTCCAGCCTCCCACATCTCCGATGCCATGAACGGACTGAGTCAACAAGCAGCTGTGGCATTCCTGCTATGTGCTGAGACTCTGCCTCAGGCCCTTTGGGAAGATCCAGGAGAAAACTGAAGCAGTGCTCCTCATACTTTCACGTCTAATAGATAACCTGGGAATCTTTTAAAAATACAGATTCTGATTCAGAAGGTCTGGGGTGGGGCCTGAGATTCTACGTGTCTAACGACCTTGCAGGAGATGCGATGCTTCTGAACGGTGAAGCAGCCTTTACATAGCAAGGCACCAGAGCACAGCTTGAAACAAAGGTGAGCTGTGAGTCAAACCTGAAATGGGAACCAGGTGGCCATGGACTATTGGGGAGGAGTAAAGGGACGGTCCTGGAAGAACTCTAGGCGTGCAGGCAGGTCCCGGTTAACCTGCACTGCCAAGTCAGAGGAAAGAGCAGCATCCACGCCATGCTGCTGGCCCTTTAAAGGCCCCGGGCTCCCTCCTTCCCCCACTCAGTGACCTGCCCTTCTCTGCCAGCCGTCTGTCCTTTCTTCCAGCCAAGCCCTCTTGCAATGGATCCTCACTAATGGCCCCGCCATTGCTGGTCGGGCTTTGGTTTCTGGTCCAAATTTTGCAACACCTCAGGAGTGAGCACTCGAGCCCTTCTGATGTGAAGTGGCTAAGGGATTGCTTCACTTTGAGTCCCAGGTTCATGGGCAACCCAGAGCGAGTGACCTTCCAGAGCCAGCCACATCTAGCTGTTCCAAAAATACCTGGACTTGGAGTGGCCTGTCTTCGGCTCGGTAACCGAAAGCTACCCTTAGCTGACACTCAAGATGCTTTGCTCACCCATGTGGTTCTATTTAATTCCTATAAATCTTAAGTCCCCCAGAAGAGAGGGTCCCATACTTCATAGTTAACCCCATCCAAATAAACGGACTCGGAAACCGGTGATCCTGCCCATTTTCAAAGAGGTTTGGACTTGTGTTTCCATGGCAGCCTGTGGGATCTGAGGGCAGAGGGCGAGCTCAGCTTACAGCATCAGCAAACCCTCTCTCAGCTTTTGCTGCGTGTCAGCCACGGGTTCTAAGGGCTTCCTGCTGGTACTAACGCACCTAATCTCCACTACATCCCTGTGAGGTAAACACTATTATTATCACCCTCAGGTTACAGATGAGGAAACTGAGGCACGGAGAGATTAAGTAGCATGCCCCATGTCCCACAGGTAGTAAGTGGCAGTGCCAAGATTAGAATCCATTTCCAAAATACTCTTAACCTGACTGCTTCTCTTACCTCCGTGTGGTTTTCAAACGGCCTCTGAAGCTCCCTAGGACTTGTCCCAGGGGCTGTATGGCGGGTGGGGGAAGGGGAGCACCTGGGGCCTCTGGAAACCCAGGCGACTCAGAAGCAATACTCCTGTATTTTCCCGTCTAAGTTTGGAACCAGGTTTCAGACAGAGGGAATACAAATTCCTTTCTTACCAGTAAAACTGAGAAATGTAGCTGAACGCGAAGGTCGCAGCCCGCCCGCCAGGAGGGCGGCAGAGAGCGCGCATGCTCAGTGCCTTCTTCCCAGGCCCCGAGGGTGGGCTGGGGGGGCGGGGAGGGGCACGGAGAGCAGAAGTCCAGCCGGAAGCGTAGCTCAGCTGCAGCCCTCCCCAGCCGCAGGTACACCTTGGAGTCACCTGGGGAGCTTTGCTGTCTGCGACCCGCATCTACAAGTTCTGATTAAATTGGTTTGGTTTGGCATGCAGCCTGGGGTCGAGGGTTTTTACAGCTCCCCAGGTGATGCTATGTAAACCCCAAGGTGGGAACCACCACTAGGAGAAGGACCCCGGCAAGGAAACGCGAGGAGGGGAGCATTCTGCTTCGGCTGCCGCCATGAGCCCGGCTCCACATTTAACCAGGTTATATACGGAGGTTTCGTGAGAGAATTTGTTTGAAGACAGGGCCCGCTTCTTTAAAAAGTTGTAAAGCACTGTTTTGACAAACTGGATGAGCTGGAGGGAGAACACCTTTTTACAACTAGTCACTAACATGTTGAGTCAACCGAAAGAAAGGCAGGAGAGGAGAGGCAGGTGAACCATGGGCTGACATCACTAGTTTAAGCGTGGTGCATCCTATTTCTTCATTCATGGGTAACGGCGGCGTGACAGCACTACAGACGCAGAATCTCATCATTTGTAAAAAAAAGAAATGAAGTGTATCTGATTGAAAAAAAAAAAAAAGGAAAAAACTTTTCTCGACAGTCTCGGGCTATGTGTCTTTGAGAGAGAAAAAAAAAAAAGGATCTTATCAGGGTATATTCCAGAAACTGACACGATGTCATTTCCCAAACAAATCCAGTGCTCCTGGTGTCCAAAGTATCTTCTCCTTCTGGATCAGAAATCTAATTCTTAGCGCCTGAATTAGTGGCAGAAAACAGAGTTCCTCAGAGTGGTTCACAAGCACTAGAGGAAGGAGGTGCTCATAAATGAAAGGGGGGAGGGGGAGGAAGAAATCTCGTAGACACAGAGTCCCTGGGTTTTGCTTCAGTTCTAGCCCACTGTTTAACACGCACTACCAGCAAACTTAAAATTCCATTGAAAACCATGTAAACCATTGTACTCAATATTAGTTCAGTTTGGGTTCTTGAGTTTCCATGTGAAAGATCGCCATTCCAGGGGTGCGGGGGAAAGTCAACTTTCCTTTCTCCTCTGGAGAGTTTAGACCTGGTGGGTTTAAGGTTCCTGGGAGACATAAGTAGATACAGTAGGAAAAAGCTGACCGTAGATCTGGCGCTCAGGAGAGAAGGGGAGGAAAGACGGTTGTCCAAAACACAGACACAAGCGAGGTCACCCTGGGAGCGTGTGGAGCCTAAGAGAAGAGGGTGCTCAGGACGATCATTGAAGCGAGGGGCAGAGGAGAAACCTACAAAGAAGAGTAGAGAAGAATGGCCTGAAATAGAAACCCAGGAGAATGGGGACGGGGAAAGCATTTCAAGAAAAGAAAGAGGTGTTGAATGCTGCTTAAATAGAAAGAGACACGAGAACTAAAAAGTGTGTGACAAAGATAATATTTTTAAAACATTAACTCAATGTATGTGTTTCATGCCCCATAAATCGTGTCCCCTGTGACATTCTCTCCCCCACCGAATTCATGACGCTCGCTGCCTTCAGAAGGAGAGAGTGAAAGCCGTCCCAGAACTAGGAAATTGTCGTTCAGTTTGAAACCGCACATTAGGCTCTCTTGGTCCGTACTGAGACAGTGGTCTTGGAAGCCAGGCTTTGTTAGGAGAGTAAAGAGTTTTCCTAATTCCAAAAGCAGCTTTGCATGTGAAGGTTTGGGGCTCTGAGCATGGACTCTATACCAAGGTGTAGATAGGAGGGAGGATATGAGAAAGGTATGGTTTCTGTCCTACGGGAGATGGGTGGAGGGAAGAAAGGGGAGAGCAGGTTGCCACACATTATAGCGTTCCTGACTTCCTCCTTCTCTAGCCTATGTGACCCCCCTGGTATCTGGATGCTTCTTGGACTTTACCCTCCCATGGCCTTTGCTCTGGTATTCCAACCAAGGACTCGTGACCAAGGGCTGCACCAGAATCACCTAGGGCCCTTATTAGAAATACGTAATTCTATCTACCCCAGGACCTGCAGAATGAGATTTCTAAGGGTGACTGGGCATCTGTGCGTTATAAGTTCCCTAGCATGGTTCTGATAAGAGCTAAATCAGAAAGCACTGGTGTCATGTCTTCATCTTAGTTCCTTGTCTGACTAGCTCAGAGTTGCAGCTTCCCCAGGCTTGAAGGAGCTGGGCCCCAGAACCCCAACCCTCTTCCCTGCTTTATTTTTCTCGGTAGCACTATCGTCAGCTAACATTCCATTTACTTTACTTATTTCTTTATTGTTAACTACACAGAACTAGGCACCTAATGGGCACTCAATAACGATCAGATGGATGGATGGATGGATGGATGGGTGGATGGGTGGATGGGTGGATGGGTGGATAGGTGGATGGATAAAGAAAAAAATCAAAGAACCAGGAAGCTTTCCACTGAAGGATGCATGTTAAGACTAAGATAAAAGAGAAATCATTTTATCAAGGAAAAATTAAAGAATGACCGATTGCTGGCTGTCTCTTTAGAGAGTCACCAGTATATACGTATATAAATAGAACAAGCAGGTCACAAAGGCACAAAGAGGAAGATGAAGTACACAGAGGGCCTGGGGCAGAAGGGGCAGAGACGGAAGAAGCTCGGAGAAGCGACAGGAACCTGCACGCTTCTCATCTGCTGGTTCCTAAGTCAGTTTCCCCAGAAATAGCTTTGAAATATCAATATCTCCAGTCATATTCTGAGTTTGCACCTATCTTTTGGACTTTTATTACCAAACTTCAGACCGTATTCTTGAAATCAAGGTTTGTTTTCCCTTGAAAGTCGGAGGCTTTTTCCTTCAGACACCTTGGCAGCTGAAACTCCTTTACCACCTGTGTCAGTGTCAATATTCATAAGGCACTATCTGTATTTGTGTGGATATTAGGCTGCCACGATCAACAATCCTTGAGAGTTATTTTAAAATCAGTATTATATCATGAATCCATATTTTTACTTAAAATAAAATTGGTTTTCAGCTTAAGTCCTACCAGGGATAATACAGAGAGATAGAGAACCAGAGAAAATTTGATTGACGTGTGCCTGATTCCAGAAGAGACCATCAGAATCATAGCCCAGTGACAGACGAGTTATTGAGATTTATATTAAAGGATGGTTGGGCCATACTGGGAAAACAACTAATGGTTTTATTAGGGAAAATTCTGTCCGATTAATCTGCCAGAGTTTTC